CGTTGTATCACGATGAGTAAAAAATGTATGGGCACTTTTAGGTTAAATCACTTACACAACGTGTAATTTTTCAATTTTTCTATTTTTTTATGCGAAACCGAGAGTGGCCATATATCTGATAGTAGTTTATGTCACTTAAACACCAAAATAATTAGTTTTTTGCACTACAATAATAAATAATAACAAAAATCATAGAGTTATAACCAAAAATCAACCGACAAAATATGAAACGGAATCTAACCCAATATCTAAGTATGTACAGCTGATGAAGTAAACAAAAGTCCGCCCCCAGGCTGATCTTTTAAAGAACGGCAGTGCTAGAATAATACAATTAAATTGTTGGCTAAAATGAAAAGTACGCCTTATACAAAATATTTTAGCTACGCTAAAATAAATATAAATAAACGTGGGTGAAATCTCATTTGTTTCCTTATGTTCAAAATAGGTTTTGCGATGAAGAAACCACAGAGAGTTCGCTTAAGTTGCCGCTTAAACGTAAACTTGATCGGATGTCTCTTTATAGCCGAGCGAACGTATCGACTGTAAAAAAATTGTGTGTGCACTATGTGAAGTAAAATTTCTTACTAACAGCTATTAAATTGGAGGATTAGGACATGTTTGAAAAAGTGTAGTTTGAAATGTTGAATGTGATAAATTAAAAAATATGTTTCACGCGTAAAAATATACAGGGTCCGGCAATAGTGCGTCGGGCATCTGTAGCTCCTAGAATAAAAAACTTGAGAATTTTGTTTTAGTGCAAACCTAAGGTATATACCAGGATGTATTTCAGGAAAATATTTTAACTTCTATAGGGTGGCTCAAATAAGTGTGGGCGGACCTGGATGATTTTTTTTAAATGGAACACCCTGTATATTATTGCATTTATGGCTTCCTTTCAGATCACTTTACATAACCCTAAGATATAAATAAATATATTTCCATAGTTTCAGAGATATTAAAAAATAAATCAAAAATATATATTTTTCAGCCTTTCTTTAAAAAATTTATTAAAAATACAAGAACTGTTCTGAAATCAAAACGATATTAGGTATTTACTTTAGATGGTCTGTTCTTACTTTGCTATAAAGATGGTAATCGTAATTCATACAGGATGTTCAATATTCTACGCCAAACTTTCTAAAATATAAAATATTTTTTCTTTGTTTTTTTTAAATGGAACACCCTGTATATTATTTTTTTATTAGATGGAGAGTTTAAAAATGATCATTTTTTGTATTTAGAGTATTTCAAAATTTTTAACGGTTTTACAGATAACCGCAGTATTATTTCATATGGCGCTTTCAATGCTAAAATACAAGAGAAAAATTATTGGGTGGCTTTGATAAAAATTTGCCGTGGAAAATGGCCATATGAAACATAAAACCGCAAATATCTGCGAAACCGTTAAAAATTTTGAAATACTCTAAATACAAAAAATGTTCATTTTTTAATTCTCCGTCTATTGAAAAAATAATATACATGGTGTTCCATTTAAAAAAACGAAGAAAAATTATTTTATATTTTAGAAAGTCTGGCGTAGAATTTTGAACATCCTGTATAATTTAGGATTTTCATATTTATAGCAAAGTAAGTACAGACCATCTAAAGTAAATATCTAATACAGTTTTGTTTTCAGAACAGTTCTCGTATTTTTAATAATTTTTTTAAGAAGGGCTGAAAAAATATATTTTCGATTTATTTTTAATATCTCTGAAACTATCAAAATGTATTTATTCATATCTTAGTGTTATGTAAAGTGATCGGAAAAGGAAGCCAAAAAATGTAATAATATACAGGGTGCTCCATTTAAAAAAAATCATCCAGGGCCACTCACACTTTTTTGAGCCACTCTATAGAAGGTAAAATATTTTCCTGAAATACATCCTGGTACATACTTCAGGTATGCACTTAAACAAAATTCTCAAGTTGTTTATTCTAGGAGCTACAGATGCCCGACGCACTATTGCCGGACCCTGTATAGTATTTTACGTGTAACTAATAGTTTTTTACACGTAATTAAAAATAGTTTTTAATGAGAGCACGGATTTAGGATGACCAGATCTGTATAAAAAAAAACATTGAGTATATTGAAACGGATTACTGAAATAACGTAAAAAAATGAACATTAACTTCAATATTAATTTTTTTTTCTAATAAATTAATATAAAATGCTTCGATTTCAATTTAGTTTTTCTACAGGGTGTTTCAAAATACTTGATATCTCTCGTGGGGAGATTCCTCACGTAAAAATAAGATTTATTTTTCATATCAACATAGGTTCGATTCTTCTTTGTTTCATAGCTGCAGGGTGTTAAATTCTTAATATTTTTTCGATTTATTATAATTTTCTTCCAAGTACATTTAGCGGTTCAAATGAAATTTTGAGGGTAAAAGTTACTATAAAAGCGACATATTTTAAAGGTAAAAAAATGTCAACATATTCACCAGGGACGTGCGGGTTATCACTGGAATATTTTTCTAAAAAAAGCATGTACGCCACTGACTTTTTTCTCCTGTTAGCGAAATAGTATAAGCAGTTTAATGCCGATTAAAAGTTGTCTCTTGATATTTTGTCGATTTCGGTCTTCTTGATGAGACAAACACAATTTTATTAATTTGTATTGATACAAGTCTAGCAACCTTTAAAAACTTTTAATATTATTAATTTGCGAAAGTTTTAAATAACTACTCATTGATTCCTCATCAAAAAATATGAAAAAAAGTTCCTATAAACATATGGGTATCGAAATGCATAGTTTTAGAATTACAGGATGTTAAAACTTTTTAAAATTAGGTTTTTTGTAAATACCATTATTTTTTATTAGAAATTACTGTAGGTTGGACTAATAGTAATAATAACTAATAGTAATAATATTTAATAATAAATTAAGTAAAATATGTAATTTATTAATTTTATTTTTATTTTAATTTTATTAATTGTGATTAATAAAATTGCGTTTATCTCATCAACGAGGCCGAATTCGACAAAATATCAAAAGATAACTTTTAATTTGCATTAAACGGCGGCCTACACAATTTTAATATCTAAAAGGAAAAAAGTCGGTGGCGTACATATTTTTTTAAATATTTTAATTTAAATTTATATTTTTTAAAATTTATTAGTGATAATTCATATTCACATCCCGGATGAATTTATCGACACTTTTTAGCATTAAAATATTTAGCACTTATACACTTTTTTAGAACTTTTACCATCAAAATTTCATTCGAATCACTAAAAGTATTTGGAAGAAAATTACAATAAATCAAAAGATTAGCAAGACTTCAAACAAGGCAGGAATCTCCCCAGGAGAGATGGCACATGGTTTTTGAAACACCCTGTATGTAGCTAATAATAATATAATCAGCAGACGCCGTTTTTTTTAAATTGTATGGTATATACCGAGCAATTTAGCCTATTATAGGAAAAATAATCTTAATTAAAATGCCCCAATAACTTTAAAAACTAATTCTAGAATCAAGCAAATGTATACTAAAAACCAAACTTGATTATAACATTGTGTCATTTTGGAAATGCAGAACAATATTATTAAAATGTAGACAACTATTGCCCTTATGAAAACCTTATAAGGAGTTTTTCTAATCTGTATATTAACTATTAACGAAAAAAAGGTAATTATTGGGAAAACTGGAAATCGTCCGATTTTCACCAAAATTAGTATACACCCTATTTTGAGGTCGTAGATTACGAATCTGAACTTTTTTCTTGGTGGTCTCTTACCGTTTTTCAGAAAAACGGAAAATTATTTCAACATCGAATTTTTCTTAATTTCTCATATTTTTAAGGTTTTCTGGCATATATTTTGTTAGGTATTCAATAAGCAATGATGTTATTGCTATTCTCTGTTACTTTTTTAACCGATTCTATGTATAATAGAGGAAAATTTGCTAAAATAAATTTGTAAACAATCTGAAAATGTTGGGTTATGTGTTTCTGGCATTTAAAGCAACGTTGCCAATGCTAAACCTAAATTTAGGGTGTTTTTTTCGCTCATTCTGGGATTACGAAAGGCGGTTGCCAGAAGAACGGCTCCTTCCCATAACTGCTTTTACCAATGAGATCTGACTATTTATAACCACGAAGTTGCACGAAAGAGTTTTGATTGCATTGGTTACAACTTCCATGCGGAGGGTGTTAATCTTTTGCTGTTATATTATATCAAAAAAAGATTAACCCCCTCCGCAAAGAAGTTGAAACCAATGCAATCAAAACTCTTTCGTGCAACTTCGTGGTTATAAATAGTCTTTATATAACTTCTTTGCGGAGGGGGTTAATCTGTTTTTGGTATAATATAACAACAAAAGATTAACACCCTCCGCATGGAAGTTGTAACCAAGGCAATCAAAACTCTTTCGTGCAACTTCGTGGTTATAAATATAACAAAAAAAAAGATTAACCCCTTCCGCATAGAAGTTGAAACCAATGCAATCAAAACTCTTCCGCGTAATTTTGTGGATATAGGTAGGTATATTTAATTATTGTCAGATCTCATAATAGGTAATTTATTTAAAATCCTTAATCACCTGAAAAAATAGAAGATATGGCAACGTTGTAAATTTTCAAATTTCTAGATTAGGTCTAGAATATATTTGTCTCTTCCATTACATAGGAGAGAGAAAGAAGGATATATGAAATGTCAAACTTCCATCTGGTCTCATTTTTCTTTGTTATTTTGCTAAGAAAAGTGTTTTTCAGTAAAATTTTGGACATTTCTCTATCCCCAATCAAGTGTGGCTTTTAGATAAACTATAATATAATGAAAATATAGTGAAATTATTACTTTATAGAGCCAAAATAAAGAAAAATTCAATGTTGAAATAATTTTCCGTTTTTCTGAAAAACGGTAAGAGACCGCCAAGAAAAAAGTTCAGATTCGTAATCTACGACCTCAAAATAGTGTGTATACCAATTTTGGTGAAAATCTGACGCGATTTCCAGTTTTCCCAATAATTACCGAAAAAAATACTATACTACTCACCTAAACGTTTCTACTGCTATTCTAGCCGGACTCAACTTATATGCATCTCTATTTAAAATTAATCCATACTGCTGCTTTTTGTCGCTCAGCGACCTCAATGCTGGCGCTGTGCAACCTATATAAGATGCTAAACTAATCAATAATAGTGAAAACAACTCGGCAAACTGTTCTAAAAATATATCTTTCAAATGGGTATTCCTCAAGAGTTCGTGGAGGGCACAAAGCGCCTGCAACGGTGTCAAACTGGCAATTTTTATATCCCCATTTCCTTGCTCTTCATAAAGGGGAGTAGTTTTTAGATGTTTCTTTATTTGATCAAGTAAAATTTGGACAAGGGTACGATCAGTTGACAATATTGACCAGCATTCTATTATACAACTGAAACAACAAGCATATATATATTATATTCCAGTACTACAATTCATTACTTCACATAAGTATTATACAGGGTGGCGCCTCTCATACGACGCGGAGGCTCCAAGGCGAATGACAGTTTGAATCAAATAATAAGGATATACTGAGAAAAAAAGATATTTAAGAAAATCTTTTTTGTGGGGTACGCAACCTTAATAATATTTTGAAGAGAAATGAGTTCTCCATTGAATCATAATATACAGGGTGTTCCATTTAAAATAAAAAAGGAGCCTGCTTTTAAAAATGGCAAATGTCCAATATTAATTTTATCTCGCCCGTATAACTTTTTTGGGTCAAGTTTTAATTTGATTGAAATTACAATGGTTATTTGAATTAGGCTAGTGATGGGAATACCGGTTCCACATTGGTCGCGTAAGAACAGCAACCGTTCCAGAGAAATACCGCGATTTTGTAACCGAGGCTCCTCCCGCCCTATGTGATATTTCTGGTCACTGTATCTACCTACTTCTATCATCGCAGTTATCTCTGTGTCCGTGCAAATTAATAAACAATAACAATTCATAAACCCCCCAAATTTGTAAACAATAAACAACATGCAGATGGCTAGAAGAATTTAGTGACGTTAGTTTTTAATTTTGAAAATAAAACTAAACTTAAATAAAAAAACATAAAATAATATAATTTATTGGTATTTAATGCTTTTTATTCGCCATCTTTTTAGTTCAGTCATTGGGGATTTTTGCTTGGAAAAAAGCCCGGAAGTTTTGCAAATTTGCAGGTTTATAGGTTTTGGGGTCCCTAACTAAAATCCATAAAATGCATATTTCCAGACTTGTCGCCGGCGCCGCCATCTTGCCAAGATGGCGCCCAAAATCGGTATTTTGTGAATATCTCAAAAACTATGTGTTTTTCGCAAAAATTTGAGGAGAGCAAAATTAAAGAGAATAAAATGTCCTATGTAAAAAAGGTTTTATGAAAAATTTCGCTAAAGTCAACCGTTTAGGCACAAAATCCCTGGAAATTTTACAATTTTGCGTAAAATATGATATATTTATATATAAAATCAAATGTCCATTAGGGTTCACTAAAACTAGTTTTAGTTTAGTTTCTTCAATTATGTCATAAAACAGTGCCGTATCATTAATTCGCTCATTAATTTATGAATAATTAACTTTAATTATTGAAAATGTGTACTTGTTTCCACACCACCCAAGAGGTAAAGTATATGGCGCGTTTATTTTAACGTCTCCCCGGAAGCCTACTCCACTAGATAAATTAAAAACTTTAACTTATCTGCACAAGACCGACAGATCTGGCTCATTGTTGTAAAAGTCGATCATGTCTGCTGTGCTGGGCTCATCAGGGTGATCTCTCAATACGTCCAACTCTTCATCTTCAGCCGCCAGAGGGATATCTACAGGCAAGTCCAACTCCTCTTCATCGGATTCGTCGAATGACACATCAGGATTTCCCATTGCAGTATGCACAAATCATTGAACATTTTTATCCAGCTTTTCTGCATCCGCAGGCTTTACCATAGTTGTTGGTTTTGCATTTACATGATAAAAATACCAACAGGGATTTTGGAGCTGGATCTTTCAACGTCGTGACTGGAGTAATGCCTGTTTTTGTTTTCTTCCAACACCATTCTTCGGCATTTTTGGTACAACCAGACCAATGCCCAACCTGGTTGTAAGTTCGCAATGAATTCTGTCCAGCACGACAATTAATTATTCATAAATTAATGAGCGAATTAATGATACGCCACTGTTTCATGGCAAAATTGAAGAAACTAAATTAAAACTAGTTTTAGTGAACCCTAATCGACATTTGATTTCGGAAAATCGACTATACATAATATATCATATTTTACGCAAAATTGTAAAATTTCCAGGGATTTTGTGCCTAAACGGTTGACTTTAGCGAAAATTTTCATAAAACCTTTTTTATAGGAAATGTTATTCTCTTTAATTTTGCTCTCTTCAAATTTTCGCGAAAAACGCATAGTTTTCGAGATATGCACAAAAATCCGATATTGGTCGCCATCTTGGCAAGATGACGGCGCCGGCGGCAAGTCTAGAAGGTTAGGGACCCCCTTAGTTAGGGACCCCAAAACCTATAAACCTGCAAAGTTTCAAAACTTCCGGACTTTTTTCCAAGCAGGCTCCTTTTTTGATCCCCAATGACTGAACTATTTCTTCAGATTGAAGAATAGCTTTTGAAGAAGCTCTATATTTTTGCTAATACTATTTAGATTTATATTCTTCTGATAGGTACACGTTATAATAGTTAGAATTTAAATTAAAAGATATACATTTGTAAGTCAATTATATTTTTTTCTTAAAAATCTGTTTACTTTAGAAATTTTAGCTGAAACAATAAAAACTAATATAATTTGAATCATTATTCGAGATTACGCTATATGCTACATTTTTTATCTAAGTATATGTTTTTATCTACGTATATTCCTTATTGGTGGAAAAATTAGAAGTAAAATGTTCATGTCATATAATCAAAATAAAATCAGTACTTACGTACTTCCCGTGTGTTATATTTTGAAAAATGATACAAATGATAGTTTCATTTTCCATTTTTGCAGTCTAATTTCTTCTTCGTTTTTTTCTTATTTTTGTAAAAGTGTTTATTTGTAAGTATCTAATATACCTAACATGTATTTATTATCAATCAAAAATGTACCTCAACCTACCGAAAATCGCGATCTAGAAAGTAGCATAACGACTGTAACGGGGGCATCAATGCCAACAGCGACCGACCAAATCACGACAGACGAAAATTAGACCTTATGAGCACTCCAGCAGTAGCGCGACCACTGGCACTGGAGCGAAATACGTCGCGATATATGTCGTTACGTCGTTAGCAGTTACATCTCTTCGCGACAGACGAAACCACGACTCCAGGAGCGCGACAGCTGGAGCAAACACGTCGCGGTCGAGATCGCGCGACGCTACGTACTTATCAGTTCCAGTTACTACTGTTGGCGACCGACAAAATCGCGACCCTAGGAGCGCGACGGTTGGAGCGAAACACGTCGCTATGCGGTTCCAACTAACTCCAATAGCGATTATAAATAATTTAGTTGCAAATTATAAATAATTTATAGTTTCGTCGTTATTATGATCGTCGTTCTTCAGTAACAGGTTCCTTACCTTACGACGTTATAAAAAAATACCGCTCCAAAATCGCGTTACTCAAATACCGACACATCACTAAATTAGGCTATACCGGGTAAATCCAATTTAGGTAGCTGATTTTCGAAATTCAAAATTTGCTCTTCATTTTAGTCATATCTATCTCTAATGAAACTCACCTTTATTTCATTTGTAGAATCCAAAAATCAATTAATATATACAGGGTTGTTCACCACATACGACACGGAGTATTGTAGCTAAACGATGAGATTTTTACAAATTGTAAGTTTGGGGTTCGTTGAAGGACTATTAGAGCTACAATTTAAAAATATTTTTACAAGATACAGTGTCCCAAATAAATAAAAAATATCAAAGTTGTATTTTTTTAAATGGAACACCCTGTATATTATTACATTTTAGTTTCTACGATTAAAATAAAAGGTAAATTTGATTAAGGTTTATTATACTTAAACCTTACCGTTTTTGAAATATTTTCAATTTTGTGAAATTGCAGTAAAATTTTAAAGCTTCAGTTTCCAAGGGTATCAATGTTTTTAATACTAAATATTTAATGAAGTTTATTTATTGATCAGTTATTGTGTTGCAATAATAAAAATAATACTACCTTATACAGAGTGTCTAAAAATTTATTTAAAATAATTATTAGCTTCAAACGGCAATAACTTCTTTAATTTAAATGGAATGCCCTGTATATTTTAGGAGAATCAGATGCCCAATTAAATTGTCTATCAAATTGTATTATACCATTTTTTACCTATCCCTTCAAGTTATCGTAGAAAATGCATTTTCTTTTAATTTAGACCTCATTTATCAATATATCCATGGAATATTGACATTTGAGATTGTTTTTAAAGCAACAAATGTACAAAATGTACAGACTAGTAATATTATCGTTTTTAGCAAAACGATAATATTACTAGCCCATTTGTATGCAAAAAGAAAACTATTTAAATCTTTATAAAAGAGTATACAATTAATTAAATATAACACCATTATTTCCGCCCATATACTAATTAATTACATACTTAATTGTGTTCGTTAATAAATCATTATAAATAAATATCGATTTGAGACAGAAATCAATATAATAATAAGTTATCAAATTAAAGTCTCTGTTGTTATAAATAAGCATTTATTAAAAAATGAAATATCATTTTTAAGATGTTACTTTTTATCGCACTGTCTAATGTCCATACAAAATTAAGTTTTTTAGTATTTGGAGCAATTATTATTAATCAACGGAAACAGTCAGTTAATGTAGTTTGAATACTGGAATCATATTAATTGGTCCTCTTTAACAAATATTTAAACAGTTTTTTTTTTAATTTTTTAATGAAATAAACGAATTATATCGACAATATTAGTATCTGTACTCTTTAAAAATTTGGTACATCTTTAAAAATAATCTAAAATGTCAATAGTCCATGGGTATATTGATAAATAAGTTATAAATTACAAGAAAATGGATTTTCTACGGAAACTTAAAGAGATAGGTAAAAAATGGTATAATATAATTTGATAGACAATTAAATTGTGCATCTGATTCTCGTAAAATATACAGGGTGTTCCATTTAAATTAAACAAGTTATTGCCGTTTGAAGCTAATAATTATTTAAAATAAATTTTTAGACACTCTGTATAAGGTAGTATTATTTTTTATTATTGCAACACAATAACTGATCAGTAAATAAACTTCAGTAAATATTTAGCATTAAAAACTTTGATACCCTTGGAGAAATGAAGCCTTAAAATTTTTACTGCAATTTCACAAAATTGAAAATATTTCAAAACGGTAAGGTTTAAGTATAATAAATCTTAATCAAATTTACCTTTTATTTAATCGTAGAAACTAAAAATGTAATAATATACAGGGTGTTCCATTAAAAAAATACAACTTTGATATTTTTTACTTATTTGGGACACTCTTTATCTTGTAAAATTATTTTTAAATTGTACCTCTAATAGTCCTTCATCGAACCCAAAACTTGCAATTTGTAAAAATCTCATCGTTTAGCTACAATACTCCGTGTCGTATGTGGTGAACAACCCTGAATAGTGTTCCGTTACAAATATCACAACATTAACATGCAATTTTTATTGGGGACACCCAGTAGAACTCAATTTATTTTAAAAAAATGTTCTAAATTAGCCTACATTTACTTACAAAATGTCATTTCAATACAAACTGTTGTTCTCCTTGGAGCATCTGCGTCATATAAGAGACGCCATCCTATATGACCAAAAAATTTATAATTATACAATATGATCGACAAAAAACGGCGTCAGCGATGCCTACGAAATGAAAATCGCTGTCATTTTATCTGTAAAATTATATGGAGGATATCATGCTCGTCATTTCTAAGCCAACTGGACGCCGTTCTTTCCATCCTGTATTTTTAATAAAAAACATTTAAACAAATTATATTGCCATTTCTCATTATAACTATTTAGATTATAATGATCAAAAACGTTAAACCAATACGCGTCCATTATAAATATTTTTGATCACAACATATTTTTTTTAAATAAATTTGTCTTACCTGCTAAACGGTAAAGGTTGCATCAGTAAAATACCACCCACAACTCGAGGATGGTGTGCCGCTAAATTTACTACTGCTCGTAACGCAGATGTCTTAGTTCGGGTAAATGGTATACTATCTAGCTGCGCAATTAATCTCTCGGTTACATGACTAACATGATTTTGTAAATCACCGCCTTTGTTTTTCAGTGTAATGTTTAGAACAACGCTGCTGCCATTTGAACTTGAGGACTCGCAGTCTAATAATGAATCAATCAATCCCTCAACAAAATGTATTAGTTGAAACTGCGGAAGATTTTGACAAATCACATTAGCTAAATCGGACGTTAAATTAAACAGCTGTTGTGGATCATTGGTTTCAATACTTTTCTGTACATGTTGTAAACTGTTGGAAAGAACCTTATCGTGATCTCTCATATGCCCTTCATATCGAGATGATATACATAACGTTAAATATATACAGTCCACAGCTACCTAAAAATATTAGAAAAGGATACCGTAAAATGGGGGGAATAGAAACATAGTGGTGAATAGAAACAAAATTTCTGAAAAAAATCAAATCACGATTAAAAATATTCAAAGTAAAAAGAGTCGACATATCTAATTTTTCTATCATTGGTAATACACAATAAAATGTAAAAACTATATTTTTATCTGTGGCAGCGCTGTTTCTGTCAATCAACTGATCAATAAATGTGAGATCGATTTATCACCTATTTTGTATGGCGCGAAAACTTTATAAATAAAATATTTATTTTTAAAGTAATACATAAGCTGTTACATGTAAGTTGTTATATTATAATATGTATTGTTAATGATTGTTAAACCTACTTAAATATGTAATAATTTACTGTTTCTAATCACCTTGTTGGAAGCATAATAGATAAAAACCTTAACATCAATGTGTGTTTCTATTCTCCCGAATAGCAGGTGAATAGAAACACAAATGTTATTTTTATTTAATATTTATATGCATATTTTTCAAAAATCAAATTATATGTATACGCAAAGAACAAACAAAGACCCATGTTTTAAAATATTCGGGAAAGTAATACCACATTTTTATCAACCGGTATATCGCTAATAGCCTACGAAACTGTTTCTATTCACCCCATTTTACGGTAGTTAAAAAGATAATTACAGGAAAATATCGGGATATTTCGTCAAGTAAAAAGAAAATTAAAGAGTACAAATACTTTTTTGCCACTGAGTTACGAATCCAACGAAAAAATCTTCTTAGAAGCTATTTATTTGTGAATACATTTCCTTTCCACCCACAGAGATAAATATTTCCGGAGAAGTTATTAACATCGACATACCGCAAACGAAAAAGGCAGTGGCAGCACTGAAAAATAACAGAGCTCCGGGACCGGAGAATATTCCAGGTGAATTGTTAAAATGTGGAACAGAAAAACTATTTAAAGCCTTAACCTGGTGTATAAATAGATTCTTGAACGGCGCCCCAATACCAAAAGAGTGGAAAATCACCTATATATCCTCAATCCACAAAAAGGGAAATAAACAAGTGTGCTCCAACTATAGAGGTATATCAGTAACAAGTACCCTAAGTCGATTATACGGACGGATCCTTAGAGATTTAATAGAACAGGAATACCAACAACAAGAAGAGGAGGAACAATCTGGTTTTCGGACTGGGAGAACCTGTACCGATAATATTTTCTGTCTGAAACAACTAATAGAGAAAAAAAGTAGTATTGATCAGGAGACACACCTCATGTTTATTGACCTTCACAAAGCATATGATACCGTTCCAGTTAACAGACTATTCAAGGTACTACAGGACACAACATTAACTACACCTTAATTAGAGCTCTGAAAAACTTGTACGAAGAATCGAAATCACAAATTAAAATAGGCAACACATTACCTGGAAGATTCTTTGTCAATAAATATCTACGACAAGGATGTTGTGTTTCTCCCACATTATTTAAAATATATGTAGCAAAGGCCTTGAGACAATGAAAGAGAAAATGTAATGGAATGGGCATTAATTTGGGACATACCTGTCTATATACCCTGCAGTTCGCAGATGATCAAGTTCTTATGGCCAACGATAAAGATGATTTGGAGTACATGACAAGGAAACTACAAGAGGAATATCAACGATGGAGTTTGGAAATAAATACAGGAAAAACTAAATATCTACCTATTGGTGCAGAACTATCTAGCGTACATCTAGAAAATGAAGAGATAGAAAGAAGCCTGCAATGACTACACCTATCTAGGAGTGATATTTGATAGAACAGCTAAAGATGACAAAGACATTAAAAAACGAATATCACAAGCTAGAAGAACAATTGGCTGTCTGAATGGAGTATTTTGGAGTAATGAAGCAGGGAAGAAACGGAAGATCAATATATACCAGACCCTGGTAAAGAGCAGTCTACTTTATGGTGCAGAGACTTGGCGAATAACGGAAGCCAACCGAAAAAAACTGGAAGCGGTAGAAATGGATGCCTATAGAAGAACCTTAGGAATTTCCCGAAGAGATAGAGTCCGAAACGAAGAAATCCAAGAGAGGATAGGAATAGAGGGATCTTTGGCAACCGACATCGAACGCCAACAACTTATGTGGTACGGAGATGTCCAGAGAATGGATGACACACGACTTCCAAAACAAATTATGCAATGGATACCCCAACATCGAAGAAAACGTGGAAGACCTAAGAAGACTTGGAAGGAGGGTGTCACAAGAGCAATGAGTGCCAGAAATCTAAGCGAGGGACAATGGAACGATCGGAAGACGGAAGTTAGGCATCGGACAACGTCGCGAGACGTTCTAAAACCGATATATATATATATATATATAGTATATATATAGCATATATATATATATATATATATATATATATATATATATATATATATATATATATATATATATATATATATATATATATATATATATATATATATATATATATATACCAATAACATAATAATATATAATAACAGCTCTGGAGCCACAATTTGTGACTGAGGAAAACAGGATCTCTTAATCATATTCTTTTTGAATATAACAAATTTCAAGTTCAATCAATTGTCAAAATCACTCGTTCAACACTTTGGATATTCTCATAATTTTACCTCAGTCTTAGTAGCACATGGTGTCCCACTAGGATTAGCCTTCGGCTCAGTATTGGCTGTGAGTTTACGGAAAAAATATTTAGGTTCATAGCAGTTGAGAAATTGCTGGAAATTATTTCATCTAATTGTTATGGGATTAATAACCATGGCTTGATGTAAGGATATTGACTTTTGATTTAAGTAAAAACAATCTTCGAATTGTCACGGGGTTTCTAACAGGACACTGTCTCCGCAACGAACACCTCAGTACGCTGAAGCTGAGAAACAACGGCGAATGCAGATTCTGTGGGGAAAATGGGGAAACACCAGACCAACTTATCACTGGTGCCGAGACGACGACTGTTCCTGCCATGAACTTTGGTACGGCTGATGTTGAGGATGGAGAGCTGGCCTGTGTGGAGCCGGCTCAGATACTGGCTATTGTTAAAGCCCTGGGACTGTATGATGAGTTATAACTCGTTATAACTCAAAAAAGGGGAACACACAATAGAGCTGTAAGGTCGCGGTGAATGATTAACTCCCCTCCTAAACATTCTACATTCTACAAGGATACTGATTTGATATTAATGTGGAAATAATTTCAATACAAAATTGAGACTCATTCCAATATGGAAAAAAATGGTATGCGCTAAGAATGGCGACTTGACATGATACTTGCAATGGATATCTTGAAATATTAATTTGTTGAAATGCAATATCAACTTTTGATTTAGCAGTAATTAAAGAAGATTCATATCAAGATAATAATCGTCTAAGGGAAAAGAGAAGATATTATACTCCCAGCCATATAAATTTCCACGGTTTAAGAAATTATCCAATTTTTCTTGGCAGAAAATTAATACATGTTCAAGAATCAAAAGTGGACATTATTTAGTTCTTGTGCATTTGAATGGGAATGACGTAAATCAGAGCTGTTATTGTGAATTGTGACTGAGGAAAACAGGATCTCTTAATCATATTCTTTTTGAATATAACAAATTTCAAGTTCAATCAATTGTCAAAATCACTCGTTCAACACTTTGGATATTCTCATAATTTTACCTCAGTCTTGTATGTACCGGGTGTCCCACTAAGAATAGCTCTCGGATGTACCTCGGAAAGTATTAGCCGTAGAGTTTACGGAAAAAAATATTTAAACCAAAGGGGCTATGAGAAATTGCTGGAAATTATTTCCAAATTTGTAAAACGGCCGCTAGGTGGCGCAACTGCTATGGAAAATAAGAAAATAGATTTATACAGAATTTTGCCTAGATAATGGGTACTATAAACAATAGCTTCATAATCTTCAGTAAATTTTGGATTTTTTTTGTTAGAACCATTTTCCCTCATCTGTTCAAATAGTGTTGGGGGAAGGTTAGGATCATTTTTACTTAAAGTCACTAACTCCTGGATGACTGGATCCAACAAACGAGGGCTCGCTTAAAAGAGCGTTTCTTACTCTATATTATACCATAAAAAATAATACTAATAGGTTTTGAACGTAGACGCTAGGGGCGCTTTCACAATAATAATAAATAAGAAAATCGATAGTTTGTGTTATTTTAAAGAGTAGTAAAGCGAAGTTGAGGTATCCGATATCTTTCAAACGAAGATACAGCAATTTGTTAGGTGCACTTACCTTCTGATTAGGCCGATTCTATCAGCAGTCTCTGATTAGCCCAGCTCTTAACAAAAAAAAATCGACGACATACCATAATACCAGATGTATTAATATCTAATAATTAAGATATTAATAATAGTGAACAAGAAACGATGATTCTAAGACTATCAAAATGTTGATCTAATAACAATTTGACGTTTATACTATTACGTCAAAAGCAACTTTTTTCCAAAGCCTACCTTGACTTCACTGAATCATCGTTTCTGGTTCACTATTATTAATATCTTAATTATGAGATATTAATACATCTGGTATTTGATATTCTGGTATATCGTCGATTTTAAAATAAACTAACTGTTTCTATCTTATTTTTTTTTTTGTTAGAATGGGCCTAATCAAGAGAACTACTGATACCGCGTTGTAAAAATAAGGTAATTAAGGGCTTATTTTTTGGTATTTATTATAATTTTGCTAATATCTTCGGTTTGAAAGAAGATATCAAGATGCGGTTTTCGCTGACTTTTTAAGCTTTTACTACTCTTTACTATTAGGTAAAATTACATATACTATTGCATTTATTTTTTTTTTTTGAAAAAACGCACAATGTTTGTTAAATTGTAAGACAACGCCCCCTACCGTCTACGTTCAAAAGCTAATTATTGTTTATATGATACAATATTGAGTAAGAAACGCTCTTTTAAACGAGCCCTCGCTTGTTGGATTCCGAACATCCAGTCCAGAGTTATTAATATTCAAATAAAAACAGATCTAACCTTCCCCCACCACATTATTTTGGTAGATAGGGGAAAATGGCTCTAACAAAAAATATTGAAAATTTACTGAAGATTATGAAGCTGTTTGATTGACACCTTATCTAGGCAAAATTGTGTAAAAACCCCATTTTCTTATTTTTTGTTGCAGTTGCGCCCCCTAGCGGTCGTTCTACAAACTTGAAATAATTTCCAGCAATTTCCCATAGCCTCTTTAGTTATAAATATTTTTTTCCGCAGCCGCTACGGCTAATACTTTCCGAGATAAAGCCGAGAGCTATTCTTAGTGGGACACCCTGTACAACCCGATTTAATTATTGCTTTATACAAATTTCTTGATGATTGTGGTTTGAAATTATACATTATTGTGTATTGGTTCATCTGATTAATAGTCCATAATATATAAATAATAATAAAATTTCAGATTTCCTATTGCTATCGATTACAATCGGGGTATAGGACTCACCCACACTCTTGGTGAGGGCGAACTTCGATTGACTTCTTCAAAACACTCAACTAAGGGTAGAATATTTCTACCACCAGGCTGGATAGTCCTAGTAGCTTACGCAGTAAAAGTAAAATACTACTACTACTACTACTCCATTATCAACTCAACATTAAAGAAATCTTCGACCTCTAATATCAACTTATCAGTTGTAGAAAAGTTATAAGACCTTAAAAATGAATCCTCTTGGGGAAAAACTTTGAGGATTACACGATGAATAAAAAGAACATCCACAAGAGATAAAATAAAGCAAAATAATATATATCATGCCTCTCGACGTTGAACGTCTGATAGTTGGACACATAATACGAAAAAAATGTAGTACCGAGCTTTTAACATTGCCGTTGGAAGAATAATTGCGTAATTCTGTTCACTACCAAACATTTATTTAGTGACCACCAATTTTTATTTAAATGTTAATAAATAAAAATAAAGTATACAGATAAAAATCTTGTCCTTAATTCGTGGTACGAAAATTGTGTTTTTTATGACGATGTGCAAACGAGTAAAATTTCCTGTGCGCAAAAATAAACTCGCGTAAAATAACAATATATAGCGTAATAGAGAGATATCGCTAAACCGAATAGCGTGCATGGACGTTAATAAGGCCAGGTGTTATTTTCTTTACGTGAGATGGTATTAACTCTCTTCATTTATAGTTATCGGATCGGAAAGAATTCTGTTCGCGTCGCTATTTAAACTTAACCTAACTTTGAATTTAAAACTTTGAAATTGTTTTGTTTACTACGTATTTTAAAACTAAAGGGCTAAAGTGCTTATTTCCAGTGCTTTATTGTTCAACGTCTGCCAGTAGGTTTAGGGCAACAAGCAACAAATTCTCTTAGAAGGGCTAAGTCGTCATCTGCTGTAAACCTAAACCTCTTTATAGGTTCTTTAATATTGGAAGAGGTGGAATCCATATTTTGGGACATATTTATTTAATTAAAACTAATCCCAGCTACTTAAATATCAAATTACCTAATAAAACTAAAGTAATCTGGTAATAATTCAAAAAAATTCAAACATAACCTAAAATAAAAGATCTCGCCGGCCGGCCCCGGTTGTCAAATACCCGTACATGCCCATTTAAGCAATTTTTAAACGTTATTTAGAAATAGCGCTTGGTGTAATTGATCCGCAAATTACGTCAGGCGATAACGTTATTAGCGGGTGTTGCGTTAAAAATTGACTCGCGCATATCGTAACCATGAAAAGGCACGCGTAAATACTGCAAGACGCTATTCGGTTTTCCGATATCTCTCTAATAACTGTGCCGGTCAGGCGCTGTGCACAATTTTAGAGGCCATAAGTGGGCGTGCTATGTGCGCAAACTAGTAATCTAACTAATACCCGATTCCGAAAATTCGAACCACGAAAAACAATAAAGAAAAAATAAAGTTTATAATCTGTGATATTATTAAGACTGCAAAAAACATGAAATTTAAAAAATATAAATAAATCTGAAACTTACCCTCTTAATATTGTTATTCGGATCTGTACACCTTGGAACAATTTTGGCCAATAACATACCAGTTTGATGAAAAGTATGTGGACAATCATACGCAAACTTAATATTATCCAAATATGTTTGCAAAACCACCCGAAGTGTTTCTATAGCGGGCAATCGTTGTTCTGCCTTTCTTTTTCCTAACCATGATTCTAGAAGTGTTACGAGCTCGTCTAATGTCGCGGGAGATAGGTTTTGTAAAATTAACTCTTGTACAAACTGATTTAACTCGGAAAAGCTTTTTGTTACACACGGAACAAGTTTCAAATCTCCGTAATAGCTATCCATACTACTAGAATTAATTTTGCAATAAATAGCTGATGCATTATAAATATTATCAAAGAAAAGTTTGATCAACTTAATTCTTTCTTCCGATTCTAATGAAACTGGTAGCTTAATAAGAGCCGTAACTGCCGATGTGATAAGTGGAAAAAGTTTGATATACTCTGGTCCATTGTGTAGATGCATTTGACTTGAAACTGCTTCAATAACTTTATCTCGAGAATTCATTCTAATATGTAAAGAATTCCGATTGGGATGCATAGCGTCTGCTACGCTATGTATTGCTTTTAAACATGTTCTTTTTATAGCAAAATCTTTAGAGACGGATAACTCTTGCAATACAAAGTCCAAAATTTCACTTTCAACCACTCGCAGAAGTGGCTCACTTAGAGCTTCATTACATATTTCAGAATAACTGTAAATAATTAAGTATCTCAAACGTTCGACGCCCAAGTCATGTCGCTGGTCCTTCATAAAAGAAAATAGTTTCGATGATTTCTTATTAAGCATTTCTTTGCGAACATGGGATAATTTCTCTAGAACTAAGGCTAGATGTTTTTGCGAACATATACCCATGGCTTCGGCACAAGCCTGGAGATCTGAGTAGTCGGTTAAAGTAACATTCAGAAGGGAATTTTCGATATTCGGTGATACTAATTCCTTTGAGCTTACGTGGCATAGAATTACTGCAAAAAACTTGATTAAAAATCTCTTCTCTGCAAGTTTTACTTGTAATTCATCTTTATCGATACTCGGTATTATCCTAAAAATGCAAAGGAATTATTGTCTACAGGGTTGTTCACCACATACGACACAGAGTATTGCAGCTGAACGATGAGATTTTTACAAATTGTAAGTTTGGGGTTCGTTGAAGGACTATTAGAGCTACAATTTAAAAATATTTTTACAAGATACAGAGTGTCCCAAATAAATAAAAATATCAAAGTTTTATTTTTTTAAATGGAGCACCCTGTATATTATTACATTTTTAGTTTCTACGATTAAAATAAAGGTAAATTTGATTAAGGTTTATTATACTTAAACCTTACCGTTTTTGAAATATTTTCAATTTTGTGAAATTGCAGTAAAAATTTTAAAGCTTCATTTCTCCAAGGGTATCAATGTTTTTAATACTAAATATTTAATGAAGTTTATTTATTGATCATTTATTGTGTTGCAATAATAAAAATAATACTACCATATACAGAGTGTCTAAAAATTTATTTTAAATAATTATTAGCTTCAAACGGCAATAACTTCTTTAATTTAAATGGAATGCCCTGTAGATTTTAGGAGAATCAGATGCACAATTAAATTGTTTATCAAATTGTATTATACCATTTTTACCTATCCTTTCAAGTTTTCGTAGAAAATGCATTTTCTTATAATTTAGACCTCATTTATCAATATATCCATGGAATATTGACATTTTAGATTGTTTTTAAAGCAACAAATGTACAAAATGTACAGACTAGTAATATTATCGTTTTTAGCAAAACGATAATATTACTAGCCCGTTTGTATGCAAAAAGAAAACTATTTAACTCTTTATAAAAGAGTATACCATTAATTAAATATAACACCATTATTTCCGCCCATATACTAATTAATTACATACTTAATTGTGTTCGTTAATAAATTACACAGGCCGACATGATTTTTGTAACACGAGTCAGTTGCAGAATTTCTTCATAAAAATATGCTTCTAATAACAGAAAAAATACTCCTGAAGCTCCTACACGTACCACTTTTCAGTTGCCTAATTACGCCTCTTTTTTGCAGGTAGTCAATTTTATAGATGTCAGGTATTAAGTCTAGGTAGATTCGTTTACATACAGGTAAATTTTATGATGGGATGATTGAAAGGGACGCATTTGTGCACTATAATATATTGTGAAAAACATAAGAGAGTTCAGTTTTCAGTTGATTTTCGACGTGAGTTGTTCTATGCGTGTAGATAAATAGTACGAAAATGTCAAGTCAAACGCGCCGCAGTTGTAAAGTGTCTCCTGATCGATTTTGTTACATTTGTGGAGAATTTATGGTGCAATCACAAGCCAGACCATTTTCTGAAAATGTGAAGAAAGCCTACTTCAAGTATTTTGGAGTTTTGGTTGGAGATCAAGACAAGCAGTGGGCTCCTCATGTGTGCTGCGTTACTTGTAGCGTGTCGCTTGTGCAGTGGATGAAAGGGAAGAGGAAAAAATGCCATTTGCGGTTCCAATGGTATGGCGAGAACCAACTAACCATTTTGACGATTGCTATTTTTGCCTGACGAAAACTGAAGGTTTTTCCAAAAACAAAAAGCACAAGATCGAGTATCCCAATTTGCCGTCTGCCATACGACCTGTTCTTCATGGTGCAGATCTCCCAGTGCCGATCGCGCCCTTAGACTGGCAAGGTATTGTTTTGGAAGATAAGGAAGATATTGAATCAAACAGCTCTGGAGACCAGTGTACTGATCCTACCTTTACCCCAGAGGGCGGTTCCGACAAGCCACATTTGATTGTTCAAAGCGAGTTGAATGACTTAGTGCGTGACTTGGGGTTATCAAAGCAGCAGTCAGAACTTCTTGGATCCCGGCTTAAGGAATGGAATCTGTTAGCCAATGAAACAAAAATCACCACTTTTAGAAAAAGAAATGCTCCGTTCTCTGCATTCTACAGTATGGAGGATTCGTTGTGTGCATGTACTGATATCGATGGCTTAATGCAGGAACTTTCTATAGAACATTCTCCCTGTGAGTGGCGCTTATTCATAGATTCGTCGAAATATAGCCTAAAAAGCTGTGTTATTGCATAACGGAAATTTAAAACCCTCTATACCAGTTGCCCATTCAGTGACAATGAAGGAAACTTATGAAAATATGCGCATGCTTTTAGATAGAATCAACTACAACAGGTATAAATGGCAGATATGTGGGGACTTGAAAGTTATAGGAATTTTAGTGGGACTTCAGGGAGGATTTACAAAATATTGCTGTTTTCTTTGTTTGTGGGACAGTCGTGCAGTAAATCATCATTATGTACAGAAAATTTGGCCAGAAAGAAGTGAATTTCAACCGGGTTCCCAAAATGTCAAGTATATCCCTCTTGTAGACCCCAAAGACGTCCTCCTGCCTCCTCTTCATATCAAACTTGGCCTCATGAAAAACTTCGTGAAAGCTATGAATAAAGAAGGTGATGGATTTAAATACCTAAGGCAAGTCTTTCCCCAGTTGAGTGATGCCAAATTGAAGAGAGGGTATTTTTATTGGACCACAAATCAGGAAATTGTTGGACGACACAAATTTCACAGACACGCTTACCAGGCAGGAACTCAGAGCATGGACCTCATTTGTTAGTGTAGTGAGGGATTTTTGGGAAACAATAAGGATGCGAACTACGAACAATTGGTTAATGAGCTTTAGATGCTTATAAATCGCTTGGTGCCCGAATGTCTTTAAAAATTCACTTTCTCCATTCTCATTTGTCATTTTTTTCCTGAAAATATGGGTGCTGTCAGTGATGAGCAAGGTGAGAGATTCCATCAAGACATAAGGACAATGGAAATTCGTTATCAAGGACGATGGGATCCAGCCATGATGGGTGATTACTGTTGGTTTTTGAAGAGAAGACGCGGTCCCTCATAAAAGGAAAAAAAGTAAAAGTTTTTGTTTATGTTTTGATCTCGTTTCGATTGTTTTTGTACTTTTTAGGTATAAGTAATGTTTGAGGAGTGTAAACTATAAAATATAATCGGTATATAGGCTTAAGAAGTTCTTAAATCATGTTTTGAATAGCTATCTTAATATATTGAATATTGTAATATTGAATGATGTTTTATTAATGTAACAAAAAAACCTTACGTGTTACGACTTTTTTTTGCCACTTTCGTGATTAGATAGGTTCATTCTACCACAATATCCTATTGAGCTTTGTGTTACATCGAAAAAATTTTTTTTTGTCGGCCTGTGTTATTATAAATAAATGTGGATTTGAGTCAGAAATCAATATAATAATAAGTTATCAAATTAAAGTCTCTGTTGTTATAAATAAGCATTTATTAAAAAATGAAATATCATTTTTAAGGTGTTACTTTTTATCACACTGTCTAATGCCCATACAAAATTCAGTTTTTTAGTATTTGGAGCAATTATTATTAATCAACGCAAACAGTCAGTTAATGTAGTTTGAATACTGGAATCATATTAATTGATCCTCTTTAACAAATATTTAAACAGTTTTTTTTTATTTTTTAATGAAATAAACGAATTATATCGACAATATTAGTATCTGTACTCTTTAAAAAATTTGGTACATCTTTAAAATAATCTAAAATGTCAATAGTCCATGGGTATATTGATAAATAAGTTCTAAATTACAAGAAAATGCATTTTCTACGGAAACTTAAAGAGATAGGTAAAAAATGGTATAATATAATTTGATAGACAATTAAATTGTGCATCTGATTCTTGTAAAATATACAGGGTGTTCCATTTAAATTAAACAAGTTATTGCCGTTTGAAACTAATAATAATTTAAAATAAATTTTTAGACACTCTGTACAAGGTAGTATTATTTTTATTACTGCAACACAATAACTGATCAGTAAATAAACTTCAGTAAATATTTAGTATTAAAAACTTTGATACCCTTGGAGAAATGAAGCCTTAAAATGTTTACTGCAATTTCACAAAATTGAAAATATTTCAAAAACGGTAAGGTTTAAGTATAATAAACTTTAATCAAATTTACCTTTATTTTAATCGTAGAAACTAAAAATGTAATAATATACAGGGTGTTCCATTTAAAAAAATACAACTTTGATATTTTTTACTTATTTGGGACACTCTGTATCTTGTAAAATTATTTTTAAATTGTACTTCTAATAGTCCTTCATCGAACCCAAAACTTACAATTTGTAAAAATCTCATCGTTTAGCTACAATACTCCGTGTCGTATGTGGTGAACAACCCTGTATATTCTAGTGTCTTCGTTCTTTTGAAAATATTGCCACTAAAACACGTAAAAATTAAATTATCTATTGGTGTAGGGTTGTCAGGGTTCGGGATCCACTACTAAAATTTATTTAGTAGATACAAATACATAAATCAAATAAAATATTAAATATTTTTTTTATTGGTTGGTCATATTTTTGTTGAAGTAAAAAGCCATTGAAAAACCTTGTTTATTAACATCTAAAGGACGACTCGTGTACTTGGTAAGTATTTTTTATTGGCATACAGGGTCCGACGAGAATGCGGCGTAGCTCCTATAATAAATAACTTATAAATTTTGTATAGATGCCCGACGCACCATGTACAGGGTGGGTCAAATTCGACGCTTTTAAATGGAAACACCCTTTTCTATAGGAGATAGACGAAAACTAATATCGGTGTCTGGAGCTCAATTTTCATCAAAAACATGATGGTGAAAACCGCACATCAATATCTGTTACCGTTTCGGAGTTACGGGCTGTTTTTCAAAAATGTGCATTTTTAACAAATCGCTGTAACTTTTTTGCTATGGAAAATGTTGTATTTCTATGAAAACATTTCCAAAGCACCTTTTTACGTAGAATTTAATGGTTTAAGTATATTTTTTTTTAAATTAACATTTTAAGGGTTATCAACAGAAAAATTGATTTTTTATTTGGGACACCCTCTATATTTTTAATTAACTGAAAAGAATTTAAAATTACCTTTCCAAAAATATATTCTTGATATTTTGCTTAATTCCTCTTCGAGTATATAAAAATTCGCCCTCTTTAAATAAGTAGGCT